AACTTCTCTACAAATAAATTAGGGATTTAATATAAGTTGAATACTATATTAATAATAAAGAATAATAAAAGTTTACTAATAGTAATATTTTAATATTGTGAATGACTGTTAAGGTAAAAATCTTTATCAGGTTAAGCCTTTCTTTGGGGAAATTGTAGCTTCATGTATTATATATATATATATATATATATATATATATATATATATATATATATATATAATGGAATAAATTATGACCATGGAATATTAGGTTTTAATCCTTTTATTATATCCTTACTCTGTCCTGGACATTGAGTTCTACATGGATTTTATCCTCTTGGAATTATTTTTTTTATACATATATACATGTATGTGTATGTATGTATGTATATATATATATTTTAGATATATGATTGCATATGTATGTGTATATTTACAACTAATATTATTCATATATATATATATATATATATATATATATATATATATATATATATATATATAATCATTGATATAATCGAACTTGGACGGTATCAACAAACACTTGTTTTTAATTCTTGCATCAATGTCAGTATTTATTTTTAATTGTCTCTTGTATTCCTTCATCTATGAAGAAATTTGTCTAAATCTATAATTTCTTCCAAACCAATTTTCAATCGTCCTCTGTAATTTAGAAATATATGAAAATGAAAATGTTAATACTTATCAAATATGTCTCCATAGACCAATAAAAACATGACCAAATAATGTAACTCTTCCAATATTTTGCAATTCTTAGAAAAGAGCGCGAGTTAAGGAAAGAAAAGACAGTGTGTTTAAGAATTTTCAATATTTTGACAGTATGTCTGTCTTCTTCAAGTCATGATTAAAAATTGTAAATAAATATAGAAAAATAAAATATCCAAGTTTTTGTACAAACGACGCTTAAAAAAACGGTTGGTAATCTTTATAACATCAACAAAATACAATACTCGCCAGCGGTGTGAATTAGGTAAACCACTGCTAATGATGGACTACTTAGACAGCATATTACCCCCACTTACAATAAAGATTAGCATTTTATTTTCAGCCTCCATTTTGGTTATTCCTCGTTCATTAACCCTTTCTAGGTTACAACATTTTGTAAAAAACAAGTGACGTTTGTACTTTTTATCATTTTTATACTTGTATGCAATTTTTTAAAACATAAATTGAAGATGACAGACATACAGACGAAATATTAAACATTATTAAACACTGCGTCTTTTGATTTTCTCCAAATATCATTATTATTATTGTTTTATTTCCTTTTTGAAATTTCTATTTCAAGGTCCTTGTATATTGATAGCTTTTTGAAGATCTTCAAAGATACATTGCAGTCCTCGTGGACTGCCATATCAGTAAGGAGACACTTTTTTGTTTGTGGTCTAATAACAATGCCAGGGCGATTGGCTTTGATTGTTCTGTCAGTGTGTATTGTGTAATCCCATAGAATTGTAACAGATCTTATCTCCGTTACCGGGTCTGGGTGGTGTTCATACCAATTTCTTTCAGTTTCCTTCCCGTAGAAGTTGCATATTTTCCAGTGCAGATATTGGCCCACTTTGTCATGTCGGGTTTTATACTCAGTGGGTGCCAATACCGTGCAACCTGATACAAGATGATCAATTGTTTCTGGATATTTATCACAGAATCTGCATTTTGGGCTAACACAATATTTTAGTATGTGTACTTGATAATTTCTAATTACGTGCTTGATAATTTCTAGAGTATTATTATTATTATTATTATTATTATCTGTGTATATTATATTTCCTGCGTTGTATCCTGTAGAGCTGGTTCCAAAGTATGGTCCATAGGCTTTTAATTGATAGCACTTTTCTTACTATATGGGATGTTACTAGTAGGTCGATCTTCTGGGAAACTTGTATATTGATATTAACTGGGACACTGTTAGTAAAATTGTCCATTCCTTTTCTCACGTGGTCCAGTACTCCGATTACTATTGGTACAGTCTCACTCTTCATTCCCCACATCTTATTAATCTTGATCTCCAGGTTCTTGTATTTGAACAATTTCTCGACAATTTTCATGGTGTTTTTCTCAGATGGTACTGCTATGTCAATAAGCATACACTGACTGAATTTCTTATCTTTTATGATAATATCAAGTCTGTTGGCTTCTTTCTCTGTCAGTTTGAATTGGCACGTCCCAGAGGATAGTTACATCATACTTTTGGGTAAGTGAGTCGGGTTTTTGCTCATACCATCTCTTGATTTTGAGCTTCTTGCATATCTCCCTTGTGTTTGTGGCTATTATTATTATTATTATTATTATTATTTGTGTATATTATGTTTCCTGCTCTCGTTCCTATAGAGTCGGTTCCAAACTATGGTCCTTATGCCCTATAGAAGAACTGAATTTTAATTGATAGAACGTTTCTTAATACATGGGATGTTCCTAGTAGGGCTATTTTCTGGGCAACTTGTATGTTGATGTTACCTGGGAGACTGTTAGTAAAATTGTCCATTCCTTTTCTCACGAGGCCCAGAACACCGATTACTATTGGTAGAGTCTCAGTCTTCATTCCCCACATCCTGTTAATCTCGATCTCCAGGTCCGTATATTTGGACAATTTCTCGATAATTTTATGGGGGTGTTTTTCTCAGATGGCACTGTTATGTCAATAAGCATACACTTCTTGAATTCCTTCTATTTCATGATGATATTATTATTATTATTATTATTATTATTATTAAATATATGATAAACCACTGGGGAAGAGAAAATCCCTCTGGCCTGAAGTGAGTTCGTAATTTTGCTTTGAAAGAAATCTTCAATTGTTAATGTATTCTTCAAAATCAAGAGGATAGCCTGAAACTTTTGGGATATAGCATATGCTGGTTTGCATCCAAATTGGTTCTGTCGCCGATAGATTTCATCTATAAGGAAAGTTCCCTGCTCGGCCCACTTCGCCATTCTGTTAAGAAAATTGGTTCATTGTTTCATTCAGACAAATTTTCTAGTCAGAATCCATTTTGCACTTTTATAAATATATCATACGTCTGTGCATTGAATATTGCTGCCATATTTGGCCTGGTGATCCTACAATATGTCTCGAGATTCCTGATAAAATTCAAGAAGGACCTTTAATATAATCAATCTTGACCTGGTATCTCAACTTTCTCACTGACTTGACGCGGCTTCACACTGTCATGTCTACAAAGAATTTCACCGCAATTTTTGTGATGAGATTTCGTCCTTGGTGAATTTAAGTGCTCCACTATTGGCAACAACGTCTCACCGTTTTACTGTTGAATTAGCTAAATGCAACAGTATGCTGTATTTTAATAGTTTCTTTTCTTGCACTTCTCTCCTGTGGAACTACCTTCCCATTTCTTGCATCATACCATCTACAAAATTAATTGAATCCGCTAACCTGGTTTTAACTTTACGGTATCCTCGGGCGATTTTTATTAAGTGACCTCTTAACGCTTTACTTTTAAAAAAGAAATAATGAACGCTATATTATTTTTAAAAATAAATAAATAAGCGTACGTTGGATGTAATAGGAAGGGGGGTGGATGTGAAGAAGAAGAAGAAGAAGAAGAAGAAGAAGAAGAAGAAGAAGAAGCAAGAGTATTGTAAATGAATCTTCTTCTTCTTCTTCCCTTCAGATCCTCCTCCTCCCTTTCTATTACATCCAACGTACGGTGGGGAGTTAATTGAAATATACATTATTTTTATCCAGCCTCATATGCGCTTAAGAGGATTCTCTTAATATGCATGCAAGGACTCAAGACTTCGGATTTCTGGTTTAAAAAGTTCTTTGGATCCGGAAATGTCATAATCGCTAATTTTTCCTGTTGGCAAAAGATGCAAATATTGTTGTGGTTTTTGTAAGATTCTGGCTTTTTAAAATTTTTCCAGCTTAAAATCAGATCCCTGTTGTTTTTCTTTTAAATTCCACACTCGATCAGCAAGTTTGGTAGAACACATAAGACGTACTAGCTTCAAAGACGACTTATGATTGTACCATCTCCGTTTGAATGTACTTTACTTGCACTTTCTGTATGTTTTATTTTGGCCATTAATATCTGTTACTTCTACTTTATAAATTATAGCTTCTGTTTGACAAGCTCCATTTAATGGACATCTACTCTTATTTCTGCAGTTGCATAAATTAGGTTAGTTTTGAAATTTCGTACGTTTTGTCTATTTATTATTTTTTACAAATTATTAGTGCAGCTGTAGCTTAATTTAATTGTGTTATTATTGAATATCTTATATAATTCTAAATTTTTTGGAAAGTGTTTAGTAAGTCACTTAAACAAATAATTTCCCTATTTCATATTTTACCTCTAAGTTAAAAGTGGTGGTAGTGGTGGTGGTGGGAGGTAAACCAAATGATATTTTTCTTCAATATCTGTCTATATTTCTGAGATGAGGTATTATGTACACTATTTACATTATTCGGACTATTCTCCCCATCTTTGTCGCCATATTTATTACAACGTTTCGACCTTTCAGTATCTGTCTAAATTTCTGAGATGAGGTATTATGTACACAATTTACATTATTCGGACTATTGTCCTCATCTTTGTCGCCATATTTATTACAACGTTTCGACCGTTCATTATCTGTCTATATTTCTGAGATGAGGCATTATGTACACTATTTACATTATTCGGACTATTGCCCTCATCTTTGCCGCCATATTTATTGCAATGGTTCGACCGTTGTATGCTCCGGCCTTCTTCAGAACCATTTATTTCGCTCACTGGGGTAGACTGTTCTAGTTCCACGTGCCATGTTTTAAAGGATGTCAATGATCAGTTTTCTCCTGTTAATTCCCCTCTCCAAGTTCTCTACTGCCTTACCCGGATATTGAACTCACACTCTTTGGGTCCCGTCACTGGATCTAGCCAACGCCTTTATCCACTGTGCCATGTACTTAATCTCTGGAACAATCTAGGCCTTCCTCGGTTTTTTTAAGCTTTCTGAAGCATTCTAGTACAAATCATTGGCAAATTAGAGATTTTTCACGTCAGTTTGTTGAAAGTTTCAATGTATATTCTGTGAAGAGGGTGTCGTTTTTGTTTGCCATCGTCTTTTTTATCTGTTGTTGTTGGGTTCCTCGTTTTGTTTGCATTTCTTGGGTTGTGTCCAGTAGCGAGGATGCGTCGGCTCCGTGGTGGAACCCTAGTCTCCCGTTGCCTCGCCCGCTGAGGTGGCCCCTTCGGATTGGGCAGGGGATGGGCATCCGCGGGTCGCTTCGGAGTGTTTTGATGAGCTCAAGGACGAGTTTGAGTCATTTGTTAGAGGAAGCGAGTTGCTGTTGGTGCCTTCTCTGTTGGATACTCTGAACACTCTTAGTATTTCTTTGTTAACAACGGAATCAAAGACTTGAAAACTAATTACAGTGAATAGAAACGTTATGGAGGAAGCCTTGAAAAGCCTTCTAGTCTTTGTAAGAAGGAGTAAGGCAATGTGGGACAGTTTGTTAGCTACAGAAGATGTAGCTAAAGCGTTAGCAGGCTGTATTCTGACTACTAATTCAGTCAGGCTATAAACCGGATACTTGAGAACAAGAAATGCGAAAGTGGCCATACGTAGAGTTCCAAAGGATTATCTCGGCTTTTTTCTTTTTGAAGTTTGGAGACGCCTTGCCCATTGAAATAAAGCAGGAATAACCACAGGCGATTATGAAATAGCAATTACCCTAAACAAAAAACAATTTATGGAAATGCCTAACTGTTGTGGTACGATCCACCTAATTTACATAGTGGAGTACCGACCATATAAATATGGTTCGTACCGGGAAGACGGGTGGGGGGGGGGAAGAAGAGATCCAATCCAGAGACTCTGCCCGACTGCGACTAAAGTCAACCCATTCAACAGGAACGGTCTTCCCAAGAATATACCAAACTCTCTGTAAATATTGTGTAGACGTTCTTATGTCAATACATTTTGTTTAAGTACATTTTGTGTTGTATTATTATTATTCCATGCTTTATTCAAGTTTCAACACTAACACATTAATGTGGGAAGGAAGACTAATTTATGTTGTTGTTGAGGGCCGTCGACCACTTTGTTGGTGTTGTGGAGCCGCAGAGCATTTGTTGAATGCTTGCCCGGGACAAAATCCAGAACCACAACCCAAAAAGAAAAGTGAGAAAAAATCGGTAACCGCACAGACTATAACACAGAAAACAGGAGGGTGGACGGATCAAAAGTGACCACCACTTCCCTTCAGCAGCAGCAGCAGAATGAGAAGCACCAACTTGAGCAGGAGGACCAGCAAGGGGACCAAAATACAGTGGAGGTAGAAATGGAGGTGATGCCCCCACCTCAGTCCTCATCACTGAAAAGTGCGAGATAAGGAGTCGAAGGAATAACAGAGGAAAAAATCACGAAAACGGATAAGCGAAAGCGATAAGGGCCGTAGAAGCAAAACAAGAAACAGTCAAAACCAACGCCCAATCAGTTCCTGCTTTGCCATTCAAGAAACAAGAGGAAATTACATCAAGGAGCGTCCCTTCTTCTCCTCTAAAAGCATCACTGCCCCCCCACCCTTTCTCAATACCGCTCCTCATAACCCTCTCCCAATATCATTGCAACTGATGACACATCCACTGCTCTTAACACCTCCCTTTCCCACCAGCACAACGCCCAGCGACTCACCAACGCCCAGCACCTACCACCAGAGTTCTTCTCATAAGAAGAAATTCCCTGGGGGTATAAGATCACGTCAAATAGACAGGTGGAGAATAGAAACACAAAAGAGAAACGGGCGTTCTATAGAAGACCTCCGAAAGTTCCCCAAGGCTGCTGGGGTAATAACTTGGATTACGAACACGGACAGAGATCTAAGAGTGTGGGATTATCTACACGAAGCAAAGGGTGCCTTTCCAGAGATCCGTATGGTAGAAATGGTAACCCCAGACCTGAAAAAAAATACAAAGATATTGTGCGGGAGGGTCCGAATAATCTTCTATCCTTCATTATATAAGACCTTAAACCTGATCTATCTCTCGGACATCGGCGGCATTGTCCAGGATGGTTGCATGACGACAAAGATGGGGACAAGAAGCCTGGGAAAATCCGTCGGGGTCATTTCACTCGCAGATTTCCACCCAGTCAGTGACTAGGGGAATCAATTTGAAAAATGTTCCTCATGATAGCTAATTTGAATGCGAGAGGCTTGAGGGATCGACATAAGCCGCCCGTGATCTCCTGTCCTTCTTATAGCTGTGATCTGGGAAACGCACTTTGTATGCGAGGTTGATGCTCATGTGCTGTCTAGCGACTATATTCGCTATTCATCATACGTGGAGCAGCCGGCCAGAGGTGTTTCCTTGCTGATTAAACGTACCCTGTGTGCGATGGTGAACATTGTCCATGTCGATGTTGATAGTTCCTTTCGTGTCGTTGCGGTTTATTCGCTTAACTTTTTTTTTTCCGGCAGTGTCGCCTCCGTATCCTGGGTGAAAGGAATGGTGTTTCTAACGCTGCTAGCCGTGGCGAGAATAGTAATCTGGATGAAGCGAAAGAAGGGAATCTTGCGACACGAATTCTCATCAGGCTTTGATAGGATTCTTTCAGCATCAGTTGAAAGGGAAGATCAAAACTGGTAGAAAGCGTTTGCTGTTGGCAGATTTCAACGAAAGGTGGGTGAAAGTAGCGAGCTTGGTTCGTGTGAAAGGGGCTATCATTGAGTTCCTTTTTTAAGTTCTCTTCGTCACAACGGGGCGGTTTCCTGTGACCCCCCCCCTAGTTAAGTTAGACTCTATTTTGTGTACTTAGTCAATGTGAGTAAGTGTCGTTCCTGGCCTGTTTCTGGCTTCTTCTTTTGGCTATCCCTTTCTAGAAATTCTAAAAATTTCTAGAAAGTGACCCATTCAAAAACATTCTCCTTACAAACTCTTCCTATTCCAATACATAGACGATTCATTATTTAATATATCCAAAAACACTAATTTAACGGATTTTCTCTCCAAACTTAACAACGTTTAACCTACAACAGACTTCACTTTTGAAACTGAAACCAACTTCACTCTTCCGTTCTTAGATATCATATTACATAGAAATAATAAGAACTCCTAAAAAAATGATCTGATCAGTTTCTACTCAAACCACTCTTCTAAAATTTAAATCTGGAATTATTATAGATTTCTATATAAGAGCATTAACAATCTGCAGTCCCCAATATTTACTGAAATACATAAAAAACATACATAGAAAACACATTCAGAAACCTACAATACCCATATCATTTCATCCACAACGCAAGAAGAAAGGCTTACAAAATATATAACCGAAACAAAACTAATAACATAATCCGCAATAATAAATTACATGAAAACAGATACATAATTCTACCGACCAAATCTGTGACGTCCACTATCCAGAACAACCTATCTCATCTAAATAATTTTAGAATAGTCACAAACACTTCCAAAACCATTATGGATATACTCAGATCCTCAAACACTAACAGCAATAATATTTCTGAAGGAGGCATGTATAAAATAAATTGCCAAAACTATTCTTCCCAATATATTGGAGAAACACGTAGAAGTTTTAAAAAAACGCATTTATCAGCACAAAAACAACTTAACTAATGCACTAGTCATACACGGAAATAAATTCAACCACAATTTTAAAAATGCTACACTCATAAAAAAAGAAAATAACTCACACAGAAGGAAAATCATCGAGAGTGCTGCCATTGAATATTATCCAAATATTAATCTACGCCCAGGCCTTTTACTTATTTCACCTTTCCTGACAGAATTACTACTCTCCCAAACAAACGTACACACCTGTATCAAGAAATCAAAAGGAAATGGTTGAATCCGTCAACACAACAATAAAAACAATAACTCTACACGTGACAGTACTTGACGTGATTTTCAATTAATAGTATGAATATAATAAAGTTCTCTAAATTTTTCCAGTTGCAAAGGATATTTTGTTTTGTTATTATTAGTTACTTTGTTTCATAAATTCATTTCGTTTTTGCCTTGAAAAAGTCCACGTTGGACGAAACGCGTCGGCTACTATTACAGTTTACAGGTTTTTTTTACATTTATAAGTATGGTCTTTTTCTACAGGTTAACTCTGAGAATTTTTTCATATATATATATATATATATATATATATATACAATAAAATCCCAAATCACCTCATATGAGGAATAAGCTTATTTCAAGCGATGAATATATAAAATTCATCAATCTTCTTCAACACTGGTGTAGAGTTTGTTTCAGAATTGTTTCAGAAATTGAACTGTTTAAATTAAATTTCTAATACCGACATGAACTCAATATATTCCAGGGTGGAATAAGACTGACGAAATTTATATTTTCGTCGGTTGAAATAAGCTTTTCCTCATATAGTGCGATTTTGGATTTTATTGTGTATTAATTAATTAATTGTTTATTAATTTCCGCTATGTAATAATAAACCCATTGAGCTGTTTTTGTGGATCAGTTTGAATATTTTATATTATTAGGATCCACTTGAATTATATACCAACGGATTTATTATCTTTACTATATATCTCTATAGAAAGACGAGGCATAGATTGGATTTTTAGTATTCTCCAATATGTATACATTTTGTTTACCAATGGGATCTCCTCTCAGCGGCGTTCTTGCTTGTCTATTTTTAGAATTTCTAGAAAGTGACCCATTCAAAAACATTCTCCCTACAAACTCTTCCTATTTCATTCATATATATATATATATATATATGTCGATATGAGATCGACTATGTGGGCAAGACCATCCAACGGTTAGAGGTAAGGATCGCCCAGCATATTCGGGGCAAGGTTCGAAGACTCACGCCTATTAAATCTGGGTGTTCGCAATCTCATGAGTCTGCGATTGGTGAGCACCTATTAAATTCTGTCGATTGCAGGACGAACTATTCTCCTGAAATTTTCTGTCATACACAGGGCTAGAACGAGACACCACTTAGACATTTTGCAGTCTATTATTATTAATATGCAAAGTCCTGCCCTGTGTAGACAACGGGAGATGAAATATAGGTTGGCCCTATTCGGGGAAACTACTGCCTGACTGAGAACATATTTAGAAAAAAAAATTTTCTTCTTCTTTCAACCCCCTTATATGACGGTAATTTATTCTTTTTAACAGTTGTTGATAATATTTTTTCTTATCAGCATCTCTATTTTATATTGCCGACGATTCTGTTTCTGAGAATGTGTCAGCCGAAAGGCGCCTAAAATCTTTTTTTTAAAACGAGATACATTTGTATTTATTTTATTAATAAAATATGATCCTTAAAGTTATATATATATATATACATACAGATAGATAGATAGATAGATAGATAGATAGATAGATAGATAGATAGATAGATAGAATCTTTAAGTATACAAGTACGAAAAAAATGCCGAAAAACTTTTTGCCGTTAATAAAAAAAAAGAAGAAAAACAGACGACATGCATTTAACGGATGTCAGTATTCGTTGAAAAATACACCGCTACCCTCCATAAACTTAACCTCGTATTCAAACGTAACTCATAATTGATACAACAAAAATGAACACCCTACCGCCCCTGTCTGAATGATTGGATTTCTCTGTATCCTTGGAAACAGGAAATTATGAATGTATAGGTGCGTTTAAAGCTCAGTAAATTTTTAAAAATAAGTTATTCCAAAATTCGCTTGGAGATGAAACTGAACTAATGCTTTTAATTTAATTATATAATTAAATGTGAAGTGTTTTGCTTCAGTTTTTAAAAACCTAGTTATTACTGTGTAGCGAAAAGACATTTTAAATCAGTTAATTTTATATATATATATATATATATATATATATATATATATATATATATATATATATATATATATATATAAATTTAATATATATATATATATATAAATTTATAATATATATATATATATATATATATATATATATATATATATATATATATATATATATATAAATCTCCATAGACACGTAAACCAGACTAGGCGAAAACATCTTCCGTTTCAAATTTAGATACCCCCACCTTACCCTGACTTGACATCTATGAAAGTAACTCTATGTGGCACCATGCATAATTAGAAAGCTGAAAAGAGATGTTCATAAATATATGATTTATTTTTTTCGGTTTGTTAACCATTTGATAGTTATTTAGAGATGAAAAATATTTCGGAGTTGAGAATAATTCTCTAATTGCGTTCAGACGATCTGGGAGAAAGAAAGAAAGGAAGAGGAAGGAAAAAGAAAGAGAAATAGATGGTACGAAACCAGGTCGTAAGCGAAAACACACACGCTCGACTGACACATATCAGATGTCAAAAATATTAGGTCAAGCCCATGACCTACTTCGGTGTCCACGGAAAATGGAAGTTGTTATCAATTTGGCTGAAGAAATAAAATTTTAGGGACAATGAAAAAAAAAAATATTGATAAGTAACAAATGAAAAGGATGTCATCGAGATGATAGGTAACAGATGGGGAAGTGTATCTAAGGATATGAAAACAAAGCATTAATACAAGAACCCAGACAATTTCTAGAGTTGAAAAAAAAAACCACCCAAGGTGATGTCGCTTTTTTGAGATAATTAAGATTTTTGTTAACAAGCTCCGAGCAAAAGAAAAAGGTGAAATATTTGTATTAGCTCGCGAGAACGCCACGCAGTCTAAGAAATTCCTTTCTTAGATCGTATCCAATTAGCGGTAGGCTGTTTGACAGATACCACGTGTAAAAGGAACCGATAGCGTCATTCGATCACGTACGAAAAGGACAATTTAAATTTTGTTTTTTTTTTAAAGGGGGTGTTTCTTCCCCAGAACAAAGCCACGGATTGTCCACGCCCGATTAGAGACGTCACGAAGGAAGGAGGAAAGATACCGACCAGAGTCTCATTGGCCGAGGGCGGTCACGTAATGTGCGAGGGAGGAGGAAAGATGCCCGACCAGGACCCCATTGGTCGAGAGCGGTCACCTGACATACGAGGGACCAGGGAAGCGGGTATACGCCTCCCCCCAGAGGCACAGTAAGGAAGTAGGAGTGAAAGTAAGTTACCGATAATGGAAAATCCCTAATCAGAAATAATACGTCTTTAGAATTATCAAGAAAACCCTGGCGCCGACAGACCCACCCCAGTTTTTGACTGCCTCAATAAAAGCAGGACCCCAATCGACAGAAATCAGTTGGGGTTGCGCCTCGGACGAAGTTGGAGTTGGAGTTGCAGCGCGGACGGCGGGCCCTGTTCATTAGTCCCCTTTGCGGCAAGAGAAGCCGAAGTGAAGCAGCCGTTTGGCCTAAGTGGAGAAGTTGGAATCAAACCAAGCCTAAGAAGAGAAATTCGTCCAACCCAAGTCGAAGTGAAGAGATTCGCCCAACTCAAGCCGAAGTGAATAAGCTCGTCCAACCGAAGCCGAAGAAAAGAAGTTAGTTCGCGCACTGACGGCAGAGATGAGTGAACAATAGTTCAGACTCTGAGGAGAGAGTTAGTTACAGCCACGGACGACGAGAGAAATCAGCCGTGAACGACAGGTAGAGATCAGCGTCCAGTGTTGAAACCAAACCACACCCCGAAATGCAAATTTCTAGAGAGCAGGCAACTCGAAGCCTTAAAGTTGTATGGTAGAAGCTTGGTGCCACAGTCCACAAAGCGGGTCGGGAGGTAGGAATAATCTTGTATAACGAACATTTAGATATAAAAAGTTGTTACCTTTTTCTTCAATAATTTTGACCTTGTGAGTTTTTCTTTTTCTTGTGTGTTATCACTTATCACCCCCGTTGGACTCAGCTTGCATACGGCCCCAATCCCTGTTTGATCCCGTCTGTCTAAGATCTAATCACAACGTGGGTAGGCAGACCGGAGATCAGTGCAGTTACCCTAGTAACCAGGCGTTGGAAGCGAGTTGGGAACGACGAGGCTGGTATTCATCTAACCAAAGGGTTAGAACGTCACACTTGGAGCAGCGAGGAGCGAACAGCTGACGCCGCGGCAAAGACGTCACAACTGGTGTCGTGACCATAGGATCAGAACCCTGGACCACGTCACGTCACAGTTGGCGCCGCGAACGAGATCGAACGACAGAGTCGACGCTGCGACCAGGGGGGACGACGTCACATCTATACTGATACTTATTATTAACACCCAACACACCCCTACCTATTTTAAACAATTCGCCCTGGCTGTTACCATGGAAATTTTGATTTCAATTATGAATATACTATTAAAACACGTAAATTTCAGAAATAAGTTATTCCAAAAAAATTTCGCTTGAAGATGGAACAGAGCTTACTTTAATTCAATTTTATTCAAATAATTATATTGAAGTTTTCGGCTCTTATGTCGCGATTTGGAATCATAATTTTAAATAAATAATTTTATTTATGCTCTACTTTTGTATCGAGCACTATTTTAAAAAAATAATAACAAAAATACTAAAGAACTTTGGATTATTTACCTAACAAGTTCTTTCCTATTTTCTATATATTTTTACACACACACACACACACACACACACACATATATATATATATATATATATATATATATATATATATATATATATCAGTAACTGCCAATCCACGGTCTGTTTTCACTTCTCAACCTATGCTGATATCCACCCGTCCTGCTTCACCCCATTATGTTAGTTCAGTGTGTTACAATGACAAATCCTGAATATATTTGCTCGTCTAATCAGTTGTTGGATATTTGCTATTGGAGAATACTAAAAATCCGATCCGTATCTCGTCTTTCTCTTGAGATATTTGTTACTATAATCAGCACAGCGCATTTAAATTAAAATTTCAGAATTCTTGAGATCATTTTTATTAAGTCGAAGCAGTTTTCCCTCTGGAAGCAGAATGTGTGGCTAAATGTAATCTGTAATTTATAATGCTAATCAATTTCTTCTTTTCCAGTTCTTTTTTTTTTCTTTTTTTGTTGAGTACATACTTTGTCTTCGATTGCATTTGAAGAGATATAACCGGTTAGACCTTTTTTTATTGCTTTGTTGTGACAACACATACACCCAAAAGTTAAAATCCTTCAGACAGAAAATAGATAATAATAACTTGATCGTATCTGGGTAAAATTGATTCTGTCTTCGACAGAAGATATCAGGGGTTTCTTTTTTTCAAATTTACTATACACCGAAGATCCTGTTGCGCAAAATCAATCCTTTAATTTTGCTCAAGGCGATATTTTAGGATCAGATTTTTATTCGAGATGGATAACATCAAAATCAATGAACATTGACAGTATCAGAGGCAAGGTTTAATTCCAGACATGAAAACTGTCCTGCGTTTCCATTCGTCAAAGATAAAAGATGTAGCAATTAGAAATTAAACCCCGTGCTTCCAGAAGATAATGCTGATTTACGATCTGGCTGAAACATTGTACAAATTTCTTGCAATGGCTAGTTGATTATATCTGAGATTATATCAAATTACCCACAAATATTTAAAACTCATTAAATATTCTCACATTTATATCCATAGCAACATTATCATTCACGCCGTGACACGACAGAATGTGATCTGTCAAATAATGACTCCGTTTTCAGGGCATACCGTCTGTCTAATCACAACAAGCTCAAAGTATCTAAAACTAATTCCATCTAAAATCTATTACTCCATTATCTGCAGACCATGTTGTTAACATACACTGACGTGACAAAAGTCATTTATTTACTTAATTTTCACCCAGTAGCAAACCCAACTGCAATTCAAGGTAAAGACTTTCTAAATGAACTCAATAATCCTTTGTTATGCTATTTGTATCCTCAGTTCCCGATATAACAAACATCGAATGTCTCTTATGTTTTATCATGAGCCTTTTCAAGCGTTGTATAATGGCTTTAGTGTCAAGAGAAAATAAAGGCAAAAACTGTCCAACATTTGAATATTTCTTTATTATATTGGTCGTCGATCTAAGCCCTTTGGCTCACATGAGCCATGATCAGAGTTGTTATATGGACATCGCAACAGAGATGGCATCCTGTTTTGTTTACATACAAGTATTATATGTGACGATAGCGGTCGCGGAATAGCAGACGTATGTCACAAAATCGTAATGGGATTCTATGACATCGTCAATGCCCACGTGAGAGAAAGAAATGTTACAGAACCATATGTTTAAATGCATTGTATTATGTTGTGAGTGGTTTAAAATGTAATTTTGTTGAGAGTGGGTTGCTAAAATCTCGTAACCTGGGACAATGTATTCTCTTCTTTATAGTGGATCTCTAGCTGCAGGTTTGTATGGGTTTTTCTTTCGAAACCGTGTCTGCAATTCGGCCTTCCTGACCTAGGACCATCCGAGGTGGGGGGAGGGGCGTCGAGATTTTCAAGGACAAAGAGGATCTGCAAAGTGCTGTCGGGAAGGCTTCACTCGACCAGACTCGCCCACCACACATACTCCGCTGTGACACCTGCTCACGATTCTTCAGGAGTACGCCGGTTTCTTCACAGCCATCTCCGCCACAGCCACCGCAAGGGAGAAAGGGAATGAGAGAGGACGACGATCCCGATGTTCGGATGGGAGCGGGTGCCGACAACTAGTTGTTACATCACATTTCATATTAAGACTGATTATGCTTGATTCGTTTTTTGCCGTTTATCAGCTCTTTGCAGGTTATTTAAAACCAGGAATTATTTTTAGATTGTATTAACTTTTTTTTTGACAGATAATAATGATTTAGTGATAGAAATCTTACTAATTAACCCATAGCTAGGGGGAGAAGGGATGGATTCATACCTTTCCCAAGGATATTTGCGAGTAAGTGAAGTTTATTTGGGGTATCCGAGCCCGTAGGCTCGACAAAAAATTCCCCGTGGACTCCGCATAAAACGGGGTCAGGTAGCTGTATACCACCCCAGACGAGACTCGTCTGGGTTCCTCTCTGCCCTGGAGGCCGAGAGTTTGAGCAGCACACTGAGGAAGACCACAGTGAATCTCGTGTAAGTGAATATAACGAACCCAACTGGAATTTGAACTCGGGTCTCCGATTAACAATGCCGAGACATTATCCATTACACCACCCAACATACTGACATTGTTTAACTTGGCTGATCATACGAAAATCGCTCTTTCAACGTGATATGACTGTAAACCTTATATAAGAAGAGTTCGCCTTTGTAATATCTATACATCATCGATGGCCATGATTTAAAATAAGGCAGTAGCGTAGGCACTTTGATTTTCCTTTGACACCGATAACCCCAGTGGCTGTTTATCCTACCGGAACTTCCGGTGTGAAATGAATTCAATTTTTACCGGAAGTTCCGGTAGGGAAAATAGCACGTAAGATTTGGTTTGGTTTATTTTATTTTACGGCATATCAACTTCAATGGGTCATTTAATGCTGACGACATTTTTAGGATAGATTCGTGTGAATAGAATATGTATTCTTTGGTTTAGATTAGTTTGGTTTATTTTGTTTAACGGCATATCAACCTCAATGGGATATTTAATGCCGAGAATATTTTTAGGATAGATTCGTATGAATAGAATATGTATTCTTTGGTTTACTTTGTTTTGGTTTATTTTATTTTACGGCATATCAACCTGAATTGGTTATTTAATGCTGACAAAATTTTTTATTGCTAGTAATATTTTGTTTTGTCAAAAATCTATTTCTGGTATTATTTTTCCTTCAAAATTGTATTGCTGGTAATAATTTATTTTTCAAAAAACTATTGCTGGTAATAGTTAACTATTTGCTCATAGCTGGGACCCCAACAGGGTCAGGGTGGACTTGGGAACACCAGCAATTAAGAGGTGGTTCCACGCTCCTCAAAACCTCCTGATCAGAGGCCTTGCTGCTTGACGTAGTTTATCGTCTTACTCAGGACGCGGATGCAGTTTAACGTCTTACCCAGGACAACTAGCAGGTAAGAGGATGAATTAAAGATATGTAAGATAGATGTCTCAAGATCTGAAGTTGGTTAACATTGTAGAGTTATTAGGGAAGCATCCTCTCTCGAGTCTGTTCCACAATGAGCGCTTGAATGGAACTTCCTCCTTATCAATGGAATACAAAGGGAACGAGTATAGATCGTCCCTATGCTGTGAAGGCCTGAACTGGTGGAAGTAAGGAACTTAGCTCGTCTAAACATTTGCCAGGGGAATAAATATAGAGTAACGATAGGTTTGCGACGTTCCGTCTATGGGAAAGTGGTTGTAGGCTGGGAAATATTTCATCACCCACAAGGCTGCGTAAAAGCTGTAAAGGTATCCCCACCGTACATCATAGAAATTCCTGGTGAGTCAGTTTGAAAAAGTGACGTGAACTAGCATGGTTATAACAGGGAATAATAGTGCGAGTTATCCTTCTTGGTTTTGCCAAAACGCCTGCTAGAGGGCGCTCCTTAGATCTATAAAAACGCAATAATATTCTTGTTTTTCCTTTGTTTAGCTTTTATTTAAACTCTCGTTTTCAGATGTAGTCGCACGTAGATAGGAACACTGCCTCTGAGGCGAGTTCGCTTCCTTGGTCCACTGCTGACTTTTGAATACACTCACGTAAAAACAAAGATGTCTACCACACATATTTCACACACAAACAAGCATATTATTCCTATAGCAAGTTTTAATGTTTTTCAGTTCATTACAACTGTGTACACACATAATTCCTTTTGTTAATAACCATCAGTGTCGTTCATTTTATATTCATTGTTTTGTGTCACTTATTTTAACCCGGACTCACATTGAGTCCGTCAATATTATATGCGAGATGAATGTTCCATGAAATATTTCATAGAAATTGTCTATATACAGCACAACAAAGAGGCGATACCCGCAAGATAATGGTAACTTATTCCTACCCAGAAATATTGGTACCCCGTTACAATAGTAAGTGCCGGATGGATGAGACATTTCATTTTTAAATTGTGGAGATATTCCTCGATTTTTGGTCTCAATAGTGTACCAAGAATACGTGATGAAAGCAGTATGACTCACAATGTACAGTCTTGTGCATAAAATCTTCATGGTCGGACCTAGAAGATTCGAGCGGAAAATATCTGTGATAACAGGCAAGAGACATTGGCTCAAATCTCAACCACATTCAATGCAGAACTTACCAGAAGTATATCCAGCAGGTTAGTTCAGTAGTGTCCTTTAACTGCCATTATAATAATAAACCCACTACATAAACTGGTTGTACTACAACTTCGCTCTCTCGTAGACTTACCTGTGACATTTCTGATCTTAGTTCCATTAAAGAACATTTTTTAGTAAAACATAGCTATGTATATAATGTTTGGTAGATATTAGGTGAAAAAAAACAATACACACAATAAAAAGAACCTTAACATATTAGAGACCATGTACAAAGCAATACACATTCAACAAAATTACATTTCAAACTAGTCACAATATATTACAATGCATTTAAACGTATTGTGTTGGAGGGGAGTGGATTCGTTGTTACTTGTTGCTTTATCAGAAGGTAGGTTGTAGTAGCAGTCCTTCGGGACAGCCGCTAGTTTGGCCTAAAGGTTCAACAAGCAATCAATTTGAGGTCACCATACATAAACAAAATAACATACGAAAGAGAAGGGTATATCAGAACAATTTGTATTAAAATACAACATCAATGAATAGTACAATTTTTCTGGATTCACACGCACAAAAGTCCGTTATAAAAATGTTCATTCATATAAGAGAAATTGGATTATTAAAGGAATATAAGAGTCACTTTGTTAATACTTAAGTTTAAGGCGTGCTGGTCACAGGAGATGAAAGGTGAGGTCAATGGGTTGGTAGGAGTCATTCGGTATCTCCGGTGGTGAAGGAAGGCTGGAGGCGTCTGGTGATGGGTGAGGAAAGCGTAGCGACATTCTCTGACGGTACTTCAAAGCTTTCTCTACAGAAGTGAATTTATCGCTCTATTTATTTGTGCCCATCGGCTCAGAGTCAGTCTGCTGAAGCAAACTGTTGGGTATGGCGCGGAGCCGTTTTATTGGTGGAAATTGCTTATTATTCTTTTTATTTCTTTTTATTTTCCACCGGAAATTCTGCGTGGAGCCGGGTGCGTAAAGACCAGTATTGGTCATTTGCTATTTAGACCTCTGAGGGTTAACATCCGGTCCTTCGCTTGCTCCGTGCGACCACATAACTTTCGCCCCAGTAAACGGAGTTGTTGTTGTTGTTGTTTTGTTGTTTTTTTTGTTGTTTTTTTTTTTTTTGTTTTTCAGTAATAAAAATATGTGTTTTCTTTCTTCCATTTAACCGTTCTACCGGACTTCGTTCTAGTTTCTGGTTTGTTATCATTAGTTTCTTCGGAACAAGATAGGGAGTTCTCCAAATCCGGTCTTGATCCAATGGAATCTTTTGATTTTATATTTTCAGAAATATATGCAGGTTTTAGTCTATCTATTGAAACATTACTATGTACGTCATCCGATCTTTTAATAGTAAAATATTTTTCATGACGACTTAATACTTGGAATGGACCTGTGTATGGAGCTTCCTAACCGTGCGGCTACAATGAGAAGCGGCGAGGAAGTGGAAGCTAACACCTCTCGCCTAGTTAGTTTTCCGAAGTCTCACGAGGAACTGGTGAATTTGGGCGAGAGTTGGGTTGCATTTGAACATTCCGTTTATTTGGCCATCTGCACCACGGCTTACAAAATTTTGCACGTTCCGCAAAGTATAAATGCGCTTGGCAAATTTGAGGTTTTTGGTCCTTGTTAAAAGGGCGAACACTGGTAGGGAATTTATTTTCACTGTGGGAACAGCCATGTATCCTTTTAGTTTCATTTTTATTTTGCTGTTCATCCTTTTGCTTCCCCGAAATCTGTCGAATATGTGCGGTGTCTTGTTTGTTAAAATATAATAATAAGTCGTCCGCCATTTTCCAAGACGATCTGTGTCTAAATCGACTTGTGCAGCTACCACTGGTTTAATGGAGTGAGGTAGGGCTTGAATAAATTTGTGACGTACGATATCGTCCCCTACGCCAATTCGGCTTGCTAATGACATAAGTTCATTCAGGTATACTGAGGGACGACCTGTTACAGTCGATGACGACATTAATTTGTCCAGCATCTCTGGTTTTGTTTTCTCGTAAGCGCCCGTCACTGCTTCTTTTAGTGCGTCGTAATCTTTTGATTGCAGTATAGTTGGCTGTATATTTCCTACTATGTCCACAGGTAGAGCTGCCAAAGTGTTAAAAAACTTTTGACTGGTCTGTCTTATATTTGCAATATTAAATTGCGCCTCCATTATCGCAAACCAAGCTATTACGTTTGATTCAATGAAGTTTGGTGGTTTTATCGCAACAGCTTGGATTGGTTGGTTTTGATTAATTGTAGTTTCTTCAGCGTCAGCTGCCATGTTTTTGGTTTGTGTTGAATAAAAATTCTAATTTTGTGACAGTTCAATTTTTTTTTTTTTTTTTTGTGCGTGCGTGTATATATATATGTGTTAAAATCACGTCGGCGGTCAACACTTATCGTGTTGGAGGGGAGTGGATTCGTTGTTACTTGTTGCTTTATCAGAAGGTAGGTAGTAGTAGCAGTCCTCCGGGACAGCCGCTAGTTTGGCCTAAAGGTTCAACAAGCAATCAATTTGAGGTCACCATACATAAACAAAATAACATACGAAAGAGAAGGGTATATCAGAACAATTTGTATTAAAATACAACATCAATGAATAGTACAATTTTTCTGGATTCACACGCACAAAAGTCCGTTATAAAAATGTTCATTCATATAAGAGAAATTGGATTATTAAAGGAATATAAGAGTCACTTTGTTAATACTTAAGTTTAAGGCGTGCTGGTCACAGGAGATGAAAGGTGAGGTCAATGGGTTGGTAGGAGTCATTCGGTATCTCCGGTGGTGAAGGAAGGCTGGAGGCGTCTGGTGATGGGTGAGGAAAGCGTAGCGACATTCTCTGACGGTACTTCAAAGCTTTCTCTACAGAAATGAATTTATCGCTCTATTTATTTGTGCCCATCGGCTCAGAGTCAGTCTGCTGAAGCAAACTGTTGGGTATGGCGCGGAGCCGTTTTTTTGGTGGAAATTGCTTATTATTCTTTTTATTTCTTTTTATTTTCCACCGGAAATTCTGCGTGGAGCCGGGTGCGTAAAGACCAGTATTGGTCATTTGCTATTTAGACCTCTGAGGGTTAACATCCGGTCCTTCGCTTGCTCCGTGCCACCACAAACGCATGGTTCTCTAAAATTTCTTTCTCTCACGTGGGCATTGACGATGTCATAGAATCCCATTACGATTTTGTGACATACGTCTGCTATTCCGCGACCTATAATACGTGTATGTAAACAAAACAGGATGCCATCTTTGGTGGTGAGCATCTCTGTTGCAATATCCATATAACAACTCTGATGATGGCTCCTGTGAGCCAAAAGCTTAGATCGACGACCAATATAATAAAGAAATATTCAAATGTTGGACAGTTTTTGTCTTTATTTTTTCTTGACACTAAAGCCATTATAAGATGCTTGGAAAGGCTCCTGATAAAACATAATAGACATTCGATGTCTGTTATATTTAACAATATATATTTGAATAATGATCTGCTGCCCCATTAGTATATATATATATATATATATATATATATATATATATATATATATATATATATATATATATATATATATAAAATAAAAGAAAGTACAGTAAGATTTATAATCCGGTGTTCTTATTAAGTACTTTTCTTTTTAAAAAAACAGTACTTTATACAATTCTGGATACATGAGAAATTATAAATTAGGTTTATAAAAAATAAAAATTTGCATAATCAAAGAAATGAAATAGCTATTCTTTGCCGACATTGTCAAAGATTTTCCTTAAATAATGTTAAAAAAAATGAAACATACATATTTATATTTGATATTTTAATAATAATTTTTAAATAATAAAGTAATTCTAATATATTTTTTTGTTTTAAAAGAAATATAGTCAATTAGTAATTAGAATTAGAAATAATATTTTAAAACTGTATTTTAATACGACGTACTCATATTCAAACAACCTTTTTGAGAAAATTTTTTATTTATACAATTACAAATTTAAAGGCAAATCAAAGGTCCCGAAAAACTTTTTGTCATTGAAAAAAAAAAACAGACGACATGTCATCATTTGTTGAACAGGCACCCCTACCCTACCTTAACTTAAGCTCATTTCGAAAGTAACTCATATTTTGATACAATGATTATCAGTGAAAAGGAATACCCTACCACTCATTGTCAAAATGATTGAATTTCCCCGTATCCTTAGCAACTAATATTAAAAATGTATGTGCTTATAAAACTCAGTAAATTTCAAAATAATTTATTCTAAACAGTGCTAGGGGTTTTAATTTAATTCTATAATTAAATCTGAAGTTTTTAGTTTCTGTTTTTGAAACATGGTAATTCCTGTGTTGCGATGGAACCATATTTTTAAACTAGTATATATATATATATATGTGTGTGTGTGTGTGTGTGTGTTTTTTAGACCATATAAGTGAATTACAAAAATGAAGCCTAAATTATCCCATTCAGATGGCCATTTCGTTCCCGGGAGATTCTACCTGGGACTTGTCAATGCAAATAATTTTTTTAAAGAAATGAATTCTAAGTTTTTTTAATTATATGGCAATATTAATTTTAAATTCATATTTTTCTTTATCTATAACTCTTCTTTTTCTTAACTTTTATGTTTGCTTTCTTATGAGTTTTTCCCCATTTGTACAAGAGTTAATATATTAAATTTAGCTCTTTCTTCATCTTCAACCGTTTTTTTTTTTCTGTCTAGACTTATTCCGGTTACTTCTACCCTAACCACCTTAGTTTCTTTGTCTCTCTATCTCTCTATAAATCCCATTTCCCTTATATGTTGTTTGTTCCTCTTCTTTTTCCCCCTTTTTTTTTTCTTTCCTTCCTTCCTTCCTTAATTTTTATTTTTCAAATTTCTTAAAAAAAAAAAATTACGATTCATTTCTTTAACAAATGTATTTGCAGTAACAAGTCCCAGACAGTAACTCCTGGGAACGAAATAGTCATCTTAATGGTGTAATTTGAGTTTCATTTTGTAATTCAAACACACACAGACACACACACTCATATATATATATATATATATATATATATATATATATATATATATATATATATATATATTGATATATAAATATAAAGTGGACATTGAAGTCAACAGTTAGAGGCGACAGTCTGTTTCATGCTAGATGCAATCGTCAGGCCACGATGAGATCACGATCAGGCCACGAAGTATGAAACAGACTGTCGCCTCTAAGTGCTGACTTCAATGATCACTTGTATATTTACACACGCTCTATCTCTGATATTGAACACTTTATCCCATAAATATAGCACACCTTAAGACTATATTTCTTCATATATATATATATATATATATATATATATATATATATATATAAGTTGGCATCAAATACAGATCAAATATGGAACGGAATATGAACAAATAGGAAATGTTAATCAATTTAACACATTTCACTTTTACTAAATCTTCATCAGAGACCAAGAGATATGGAGAAAACGAATATGGTATTTTTACTTTTATGTTGTTATTGGTCAATCATGTTTCATAATGCATTTGACTCTTAAACTAACGTTAGTAAAATTTATGGCATTCCAAATTCAAGGCGAGATGAACGCATCCATTGGAAGCTTCAAGAAAATAATGAATTTCAAGACTACTTGAAAAACAGTAAATATTGCTATATGTATGTAAGTGTATAAAAATTCTAGTTTGTTTATATGAGAATCAGATGATAACATATGTTTGTAATTATGTGTGTGTATGTGTGTGTCTAGTAGACATTATATTTATTGGTTTTGGTTTTTCGCAT